AAGTTGTTTTCGAGCTTGGGCTCGCAGGTGTCTTGTTTTGTTTCGTATAAAAGACGTATACGTGGAAAGATATTTCGTATAAGTGGCTGATAAATGATGTGTGTTTGTTTTGGGTGTAAATAATGATCAGGTTCGTGTTTTGGGTGTAAATAATGTCAGAGTTTTGTGTAAATGTTTAATTGATTTGAGATAGAAAAAGATAAAATACAAAAAAAATTTTTTAGTGTTAATAAAACCATTACAGCTATTTTCCAACTGAGAGATATTTCACTTTTATGTCAGGGGCGGTGCTGCCCAGCCTCCATATCTGGAAATTGGTTCCAAGTATTTATTACTGAATTTTTCCTTAGATAATACATCAAGGCAGACATTTCTCCTGACAAGGTGGTTAAGCATAAATTGCAGAAGGTGTTACTGGGGTCCCTTGTTATAATGGAAAATAAAATTTTGTATACCGTCACATTGAAATGATGTGCAAAGATTATTTTTTTAGATTATATGAGGGCTAAACAGCTATCTTCTTTGCCCCTTTGGGAGAAAAAACGTTTAAGGGGGTGTATTTTTTATAATAAAATTAATGCATTAAGATTACCAAGCTCTAGATTTATATACATATATTATATTTTACGTTCCCTTATTTTGAAGCAAAATTTAAAAGATTGTGTATTATCCACCACTTACTCAGTAGTCTATGAGCGAAAAATTTTCAGTTTGAAAAGAGTTAATTCCCAGTTAATTCGCAATAGAGGTATTACAGAGCTTGGCAAATGTGGGGTTTCCCCATACAAACAAAACTTCTACAGTTTCAATTTGATAAATGTATCATTTAAATGTTCAACACATTGGTCACGTTTTGAATGGTATTGCACCATGCTGGTGCACCTATAAGGATAATAGTGTATGTATACCAGGAAGATGATTGTGAAAACTTATATTTACCAAGTTCTGGAATACCTCTTTTTTGTAAATGAGTTTGAATGCTATATTTGTTATAATTATTGATCATGAGTAAATGAACATGTTTTTATATACATGTATAACTTTAGTATTGATACTTATTAATACTCAACCTTTAACCTGCTGAAGTTCTGTAATGAGCGCAACCTGCTTTGAATTTGGCTCAGCCTGATTGAACTTTGAAGGGGTTTCAATACCAGCAGTAAAAATTATGGCTTGACTATTTACTGACTGCCTAGGATGTATTTAATGATGACCTAGGCTCTTTTATCTGATGGCCTAGGCTGTTGTTACAGATGGCCTAGACCTTTTTTTCTGATGGCCTAGGCTCTATTTACTGATGGCCTAGACTGTATTTACCAATGGCCTAGGCTGTATTTACTGATGGCCTAGGCTGTATTTACTGATGGCCTAGGCTGTATTTACTGATGGCCTAGGCTGTATTTACCAATGGCATAGGCTGTATTTACTGATGGCCTAGGCTCTATTTATTGATAGCCTAGGCTCTATTTACCAATGGCCTAGGCTGTATTTACTGATGGCCTAGGCTGTATTTACTGATGGCCTAGGCTTATCACTCAGTTCCAGCAGGTTGAGGGTTAAGTTAGTAAGGTTTGGAGTTCGAGTGGTGTATTGCATTATACACTATATTATGTCATGTTTTACAGTCTGTCATCTAATATACTGCTGCTTGTTATCAATTTCTGGTGTGATATTATAGCCAATCATAATAAAGATTAATTTACATTTCTAGTTGTTTGCTCTATTAAGCTGACATGACCACTTTGTGCTCAGAGGTGAGCTGTGTTGGTCAATCATGGTCATCTGCAATCTCTTAAACCATGTGGTGGAGTTTGACCAAACTTCACAGTGACTCTTAATAATACGTTGACATGTATAAATGGTTACAGTCTAATGTATATTTATGTCACAGGGGCTATAAAAGATTTCAATATTTAAAAATCGTCTAGAGCTTAAATATTTTGTATTCAACATGGTGTAGCCGGTGAGTATTCTAGGATGGGGGATTCACTCATATTTTTTAGAATTTTCCCGTTTTTTTTCAATGGCAGGGTGGGGCAGATCAAGTCAGTAAACCTTATTTAACCTACTCTATATCTACACCGAAAATGTTATTGTTGGGACAAGAATGGCGGATGTAATATTTACAAACATCTAGAAACGGAAAACTATCTTAGTACGAGAACAGTAATATTATATTTATAAATATCAAAATCATTTGATAAATCAAAGAAGCATATTTAATGCGGCAAAATCACACGTTTTAATGCTATTTTCTTGGAAAAGCGACTTAAAGAGAGAAAATCAAGACCGAATTAATACAATATCTCGAATATCCCATGTCTTAACAATATTTGTATGACTTATGAATTTAAAGACAATTACGAGGTCCAAATAAGAAAATATATTTAAAATTGTAATTTTATTTTATTTAAGTATCAACGTTTTAAATGAGCGTAAACACAAAGGGACATAAATGGCTGAACCATCATTCGCTTACTTGCGTATAGGCAACAACGCGCCTTACAGTTGTCATACTTCAATTAAAATCCGTATATACAATGTAGCTTCCTATTGAATCCGATAATTACTGAAAATACAAATGTATCAGAACAGAACATACGTTTTATTTAGACTTGTACATAGTACATCGTCATGCATATAGATAAATAAAACAATTATCACGTCACGTGATCATGGTAACACAAAGTACAATATGAAACTTAGAATATATAATAGAATGTACATTGTTATGAGTAATAAGTAAATATTTTCTCAATCATAGCAGTAATAGAAATTCTACTGGCAACCTCACAGGATATTGTATTACACAAACAAACATGATGTTATAATATATGAGAATTGTAAAAAAAAAATATTTTCCAAGAGGATGTTAAAAAATCAAATATTTAAGAGAGTATTTCTGATTGCCAAACTTTCTTTAATGTATCTTGCTAAATTAATCAATAAAAGCTTGTTTGAAGTTTGCAATAACTGAATAAATTTGAACATCGATGGTCTAACATAAAAATATTTTTTTATAAATGTCTTACGAATATTATTATAACAAGGACAAACCAGAACATAATGATATTCATCTTCGATATCAAGGGTATTACAGCACTGACAATATCTCTCGTTTCGTGGTAATCTATGTCTACTATATCTACCAGTTTGTATTCTGAGAGAATGGGCTGATAATCTTATTTTGGACATATAAATTCTTAAACTACGTGGTAAAAGGTCGAGGTAAATTTCATACGATAAATTAGTTTTGCAAATTTTATATAGATCTAAAACATTATTATTTTCAATATTACCATGCCAATCTTGTACATAATTATCAATAAGTCTTTGTTTATAAATCCATTAAAAGTATCAAGGACGCATAATTATAATGGGATAAATTTCGCCTTCAAACTTATTCACTAATATTTTAATTTATTGAAGAAAAAAAACACTTATATTTTACTTTATTTATTATACCTCACGTAAACTTTTTACTGTATAGCCTAATGTGACGCTACATGGTGTATATCACCCGGTCAACACACGACTTAACATAATAACATAATGTTATAGTTCTCTCCCCTGGTCCATCAATGACGAAAAAAACAACAACAACAAACAAAAAACCAAACATGTCTCCCAGGGTAATAGTGCATTATAGCAACCCTTGCTAATATGCAGTATTGTCCTGAAAGACATATGTTATCTTTTATTTATAAACATGTGTATTTCAAATAATATACATGTATTTCGTTTCCTTCGAGTAGTTTTGCTATATGAAAACATCAGCACAGATTTTATTTTGTTGTTCTTATCTTGAAAATGTCCAAAGGTTATGGGACAATTTCGCGAAGTTAATTTGCTAAAAATAGATTGTGTACGTGACAACCCCTTATTCTTATCTAAATATTTATACAAAAGTTATATTATAAGCTGGATTACAAGGAATTATAATGATTATTTTCTTGGGCATTTTACTAACTTTGGTTCATTTATTCAATATTAGTTACATGTACATTCGTAATTTTGAGAATTCACATACTTTCTTATCCTAACAGATATTGTCATAATTTTGGACTCTTTTTTCACATCATGCTTATCATAATCAGCTGACAATCATAGCTTTTTCTGTTTGATTTGTATAACAATTTATGCACACAGGTATAATATATTATTCACTTATTTAAAGTGAATTGGTCTATAATTGAATGTCTGTAATACCATAAAAATTATGTTGATGGTATTTTGTATAATTATACATGTCCAAACAACAACAACAACAAAAACAATAACTGTAACAAAATAAATGAAGTACATATATATGGATAATTATATATGGTTGTTATTGGTAAGTGTATAATACATGATATCACATATCTATATATAGCAGATAATAAAATGTTCCAGAACAAAATATTATTATTCGTCCTATTAATGGACATACTAAATCACTCAACTTTTATTCTATGAAATACAAACGATAAATTGTTTTTATCAATATTTGAAATACTAGTACATGTACTTGTGGACATTATAGACCAGTCCACTTTAAAGCTACTATCTCACACATTGTACATAGTTTTGGTGTTGTTTTTTTTTTATAAAATGTCATCACAAGATAAACTTTCACCACAGGCTCGTACATTTATATGGAATTAGATTATTAATTCATGTCTTGTCCGACAAGAAAAACATATGAGTAAAGTTTTTGCAATGTTTAAGATGCTGTTCTTTTAAACGGTCGCAATGTTTTATATTAAATTATACACGAACTTGCAAGTAGATCCATTGGTTGCGGGTAGACCAGATACGCGTTTAATAAGTTTTCTTTTGTCCTGCAATACCTTGCTGCACAATAATTCACAGGGATTATGTCTATAAAAAATAGACGAAAACTTGATAGTCCAGTGGAAGGGTCGCTACACTGGTTTTAAACTGACATTTTATACAGTAACTTGCATCAAGCTGTCCTTCTAGCTACATGTTATGGGGTGTGATAATAGGGATGTCTATGTCTGTGTCAAGTGAAACATGACAACCATAAAAATGTATTATTCCCTATACGTGAATGCACGAAATGTTTCCAGTGTCAGAATGTAGTTTATCGACGAGAGTGCAAAACATTGAAGCTATGTAGCTCGGATGAGGTAATATTTAACTTATAAAGACAGTCATTATTGTTGTTTTATTAAAATCAACAGCCAAATGAATGAAATATATTGCATCTACTTACTAGTGTTTATTCTATTTATTTATTTATTTTTATTATTTTTTAAACAGTTTCACATATATGCCACTTATTGACTTACAGACACATTGCATTTCTTTCATTCTTAGAACAATAATATTTTGGACTGGTAAATTGATTTTAGGTTATTTTCTCCCTAAAAAATCTATCATATTGAACTAGTTAATTGATTTTAGTCCATATCCCCAAATAACAAACAACAATATTTTGGAATGGTAAATTGATTACTGGTCATATCCTTTTCCACAGATTTAATGATTCTTCATTCATTATTCATTATTCATATATTCATTTTTTCATTTGTATTTTAGATCTGTTTTGTGCAACAAGTTGTAACAGCAGATGGGTTTATTTTGTATAATTCAGGATGCAAACCAAAGTAGGTACAGTATTTACACACATTACAATATAAATGCATATTTACATGCTATAGCCATGCATTTTGTTTATATTTCGTGACATTCGTGCAGTAATAAAAATGTGTGAAACCGTTACATTTTTACTGCACAAAGGTGACGAAATTTTTACCTTCTTTGAAACAAAATAAGTCTGGCTTAAATGTGCGTGATTTTGAATTTGCATTAAAACATACATTTATATACATGTTTATGAATTTGCTGTATTTATATAATGGATATTAATGTGTATTGTGTTAAAGTGTCATTCATATGTAGTGCAATAGTCTAAATCACACTTAGAAATAGCACATTAGTCATGTAGTTTATCATGTAAACTCCAGTCAGTCACCTTTATGTTTCGTTTTGTTGAAAGGATGCCTTTAAAACTGGAATGAAGTAACCTGAAATTTAGTTCGAAATATGTCACAATTAAAAAGGGTGAATAAATTAGAAAAAAAACTTCAATGTAAACAATGTTTACAAAATATATTGTTAGAATGAAATTATTGTTAAATGTATAAACTGTTCGTCATAAAGGTTTGTATATGTATGCCTCATGGGCTTTTAAGCCTAATGATTCTGAATGAAATAAAGCTTATCAATGTTTCCTTAATATTAACAAAAAATACTTATCCTCATACACCCTGTTGTTAACTTTGTATGTAATTGTTTTGATTTTTTTATATTATTATTTACAAGCGTCTTCTTTGCGATCTTAAGCTTGACACTAACAGGACTGTAATTCTATGGGATTAATAATATCATGGATATCGTAAGAAAAAAAAAGATGTACATGTATTCATTTTCAAATAAACACATATTCAGTTAGAAAATACATAACATAATTCAAGTTCTCTTTTAAAATATAGTCTCTTTTTTGCATCATCTTATATATAAAGAACAATCTTTTAATTTCAAATTAAAAAAAAATATCCAAAATCAAACTTTTTTCTTCATAGCAGTTAAATGTTTTCTTCTCATTTATTTAAACATGTTATAACATCTACGTAACTAATTGTAAAATCCAGCCCATTCATATATGAGGCTATTTTATTTAGCAATATTCTTGATAACTTCTTCGGGTTAAATGTTCACTTTTAAGAACATTTGTTTTATTTTCTTCTGCAAAGATGAAATAAAATCGCAAGACAATCATAGACTGTCAGTTACTAATGGGATTACTTCAGAGTTGTCCAATCGATTCTGCTCCACTGGTAGGAAGATCAGCAAGTGTTGTAGAACACCGCTCCACTAACATGACAACGTGTGAAGAATGTTGCTCTAGTGACTACTGTAACAGAAATGGATGTGGATCAAACGGTTCAGAAAATATGAGCCGCGCCAGGACAAAACCAACATAATGGCTTTGCGACCAGTATGGATCCAGACCAGCCTGCGCATCCGCGCAGTCTGATCAGGATCCATGCTGTTCGCTATCAGTTTCTCTACATGTTATGCGGTTTGTAGGCGAACAGCATGGATTCTGATCAGACCGCGCGAATGCGCAGGCTGGTCTGGATCCATGCTGGTCGCAAACCCATTGTGTTGGTTTTGTTATGGCGCGGCTCAAATATGTTTATTTTATAAGGTTTCTTCTTGTGACGTTAAGGTAATCATAACTTCCGAAGGATCAACCTTTTTCAAGATTCTTTTCTTTACCTATGACTAAAGCTGTCAAAATTTACCATGCAAGCCATTATTGTATGCACTGGGAGCACCGTTAATGTTGGCATATATTTAGCCACACTTTTTTGCTTTTATACATTTTAAAGGGATGCCATTGAGAGTTATTTTGACATGAAGGTACTGGGAATATATTTTTGGATTTTTTAATATCATTTAATGTAGATCTATACTAGTAACTTGTGTGCAACATTCAGACCATTCTTACAGACAACATCACTTTATTGTTCCAAATTGACATATATATGATTTTGATCTTGAATGTTATCATGAGTACTTTTCAAATATGTTTAACGAATTACATGCGACACAGATTGAAGAAATCGAAAACTTTATAAATAATAATGATTTTAACGTAAATAATCCCACGTTTGAGTCTTTGAATATCCCGATAACCACAGAAGAAGTTCGTGAAGCAATAAGTCGTATGAATCGTAATAAATCCTCATGTCCTGTTGATAATTTACTTAATGAGTATTTTATAGAAACTGCAGACATACTTGCAGGACATCTAACCGACTGTTTTAATAAGATATTTGATTCAGGTCTTTTTCCTAAAGCCTGGTCATATGGTTATATCGTCCCAATTTATAAAAAGGGGGACAAAAATGCTCCCAATAACTACAGAGGAATAACACTTAATAGCAACTTCGGAAAATTGTTCACTAGTGTTTTAACAAAGCGTGTTGAAAATTGGTCAAGTCAATTTAACATATCTTCGGATGCTCAGTTCGGTTTTTGTCACGGTGTGTAACACCGCACTTTGGGGTCAAACGCACTTTGGGGTCCGACCCCAAAGTGCGTTAAACTTCGCACCGCACTTTGGGGTCCAACGCACTTTGGGGTCAAAATCGAGAAATTGACCCCAAAGTGCGTTAATATGCTACATATCAACGCACTTTGGGTTCAAGAGGTCTAAAGGTGTCATCTGAGTTCTGCTTAAATACTGAGTACTGACTTATTTTCTATTTATTTGAAGTGGAGTTCAAGATGGCGGTCAATACTTTTGATGCTTAAGTGATAAAAGTGACATGAAATATATAAAAATTGTGTTCATATAACAAAACTACGGTGGCATAAAAGTGACATTTGCATTGTTTTTGTTTTTAGTTTTGTATACATATTTTATATTAGTGTCTATTTTCAAAGGGCTGTTGATTGGTGATCAGTTATTATTCCATGCATATGCACCATTCAACCCCACCCCCTGAGAATTAAGAATAATGAAACTTAGGTCAATTCCTTAACACATCCAGATAATGTGCAGAACTTATATGCTAGGTGTGCCGGCTCAAGGTCGGGGTCACACCTACAGGTCAAAGGATAAAGACTTGGGTTCCATGTCCGCTCCTTATCTCCGAAACCCCATGAAGGATTTTAAGGCACCTTGTGACAAATGTTAACCACATCGAGACCATGTGCAGAACCTTTCTTTGGGTTACCTCGGACTATATATAAATATATATATTCTAAAAAGTGTTGTTATTTTTTTTGATACCTCCAAAAATGAAAATGTTGGTATTTGCAAATGGTGTACTGTAATTTACATATGGCGAAGTGTTTGAATATGGTGTTTTACAAATGGTGTAATTATCCAAACCTCTACTTTGCAAATGGCGTCATGTAAAAATATGTACGAAAAAAAACAAAATAAAATATGTACATAAAAAACTAAAATAAAATATGTATGCAAACTAAAAAAGAATATGGATGCAAAACTAAAATAAAATATGTATGCAAACTAAAAAAGAATATCACATTGTATGCAAAACTAAATAAAAGTATGTATGCAAAACTAAAGAAAAGTATGTATTCAAAACTAAAAAAATATGAACGACAAACAAACAAAAATATGTACGAAAAACAAAAAATAAGTATCAAAAATAAATACAAATGTCACTTTTATGCCTCCGTTCAAAATACTCTAGTACAGAAATTGTGTATTCATAGAATTAAAAAATGTAAAAGATGCTGCGAAAAATATCCCGTTCTGTCGGTCATTTACTTGATAACTTTTGGTGCCATATTGAGCCCCATTTTAAATATGTTGGGAATGAAATAAAAAGAAGTTAATACTTTTTCCAAAGAACTATAAATATACTCTATTGCAATGTTCTGGTGAAACATCAAGTTTCTCGATCGGACTATAAATAGTGATTTTTACAAATACATTATTAAGCTTATCAACAAACTTAAGGTTTTTTGTAAGCTCCGTAACAACCGTTCGCCAGAGGCTTTTTTATGGGAAATCTTACATACTTCTTTAGAAAGAGCAAACATGAATTTTATAATGTTAAAATAATGGTATCAGAGAAATGTAAGATGCTTGTTACCTGAATAAAGTAGCGATAAATGTGAAATTATTTGTCATAAAAGAAGTCAAAACACTGTGGTATTTGGCTTCCATATAAAATACTAGTTCACTATAACTGTACTCATCATTGCCAAAAAGCAACAGATGAAAAACAAATGGTTCAGGTAATTGGCCAATGTGTATTTTTTTGGATAATATAGAAGAACATCAAAATAAAAAAGCTTTTAAGAAAAACAAATAGAAGCATAATGGGCCTTTAAAACGTTATTTTTAACCCTCGGGGGATCGGTGAGAATTTTACATTATTTTGAAGCTCCGCTCTTAATGTGCGACTACTAAAATAGTTGATATATTTAGTACTGTTTGTACGGACTACTACTTAAAGCCGCATGTACACCTAGTCAAGTTTCTTTTATGTCACGCTAAATAAATGGCTCTTTCAACATATTATCAGGCACATTTTTTACTGAAATGTCTTACTAAGATTTCCCAGAATTTATACCTTTGTCTATGCTAAGACTATCATATTTCTATAAAATGTGTTAATAAAAAACGGGAAAATAATTCATTTAGCTAAAAACAATGGAGTTAATGAAAGGTGTACATTCTTTTAAAATAAATGGAAAATTTGAAAAAAAAATATTTTAAGCTAAGTTATTGATACAAATTCTTTATTAGGTGATTTATTTGGTGAAAGTTCTTTCACTTACTTATCAAGACCATTTAAATCCCAATTGATTCTACTATAATCAGGGCACATGCTTGTGTCTATTTAATACCTTGGTTTTTTGTTTACCATTGGCTTTGACTACAATATATTATTTAAAACAGAATGAACATAAATTTTTCTATGACCCCAAAGTGTGGTCGTTTGCCTGATGTTAAAAAAGGCATATGTACCTGTTTAACGCACTTTGGGGTCGAAATTGGACCCCAAAGTGCGTAACGCACTCTGGGGTTGTACCCCAAAGTACGTAACGCACTTTGGGGTCGGACCCCAAAGTGCGTTTGACCCCAAAGTGCGGTGTTACAACGGTGCAAGTACAGTCGACGCGATTTTCGTTTTAAATTCGTTAATCGAATATTTTTTATCACAAAAGTTACGCCTTTATTGCGCTTTTATAGACCTAAAGAAGGCTTTTGATTCTGTGTACAGGAATGCTTTATGGTTTAAGCTCTGTAAGGTTGGTTTGGATGGAAAAATACTTAGAATATTCAAAGCAATGTACGCTACTGTGAAGTCATGTATAAAACATTGTAACACAGCCAAATATTTTGTTAAACTTTTTAAACAAAGGATGATTGACTGCTTTTTGCAAAAACTTTCTAGCGATATTTCAAACAGTCCATTGTTAAGTAATATATATGTACATTTGCATAACTCATTTGAAATGGCAAACTACCTGAAAATTCTCCATAACAGAACTTATAGAAATTGCATAGCAAGATTAAGATTATCGTCACATAAACTTCGGATTGAAACAGGTAGATATGGTGCTAATAGATTACCCCGAGAGGAACGCATATGTCAGCTTTGTGATAGTAATGAAATAGAAGATGAATTCCATTTTATATGTGTTTGTAATAGTTACTCTAATATACGTTCTCTTTACATTAAGCAATACTACTACAGAAGACCAAGTATGTTCAAATTGATTGAATTATTAAGTACTGAAAAGAAGTCTGAATTAATAGGTTTAGGTAAATATTTGTATTATGCTACAAAACATCGAATTGAACTACTAAATGCTCTGTAAATCAATGTATAAATTTGTCTCGTTGTATTTAAAAATGATATTGTTTATTTCTTGAAATTACTTGATAATGTGTCTAGTATGAAACATTGTTAAATGGAATCTTATCACAGCATATGATTAAGTTTAAAATCCATTTTATTTTATATCTTTAGGAATGTAAACGCTTTATAATAGATAAGCTCACTTTAGTACTAAATGGTGTTAACGTTCATTCTCCAAAAATATGTAAATTGAAAATTTGTGCTATAACTTTGTTCATGTACCATGATATTGTGTTTGATTGAACTATATAAATGTGTGTAATATGACTATGTACTGAATGTATACGTCAATACATTATCTATCTATCTATCTATCTATCTATCTATCTATCTATCTATCTATCTGTCTATCTGTCTACACATTTTATTATTTGTAACTTGATAAAGTTATCAAAATCATATATATGTTTAATATTGTTTTGTTTTCAGATATCACAATAAATAAATATCAACGCGATTCTTCAATGACTTTGTAATTTTCTTCTTAGTTCATGTACATTTTGACCCCCACCACCACACAATAAGTTTGTTGTTTGTATTTGCAACCAGTAAAGTTATATCAAATATGAATGAACTGAATTAAAGTAGATATACTTGTTGATGATATAGATCTAGTAGAAGTATAATATATTTGCCCGTAAACATAAATTTTTATCACATTAGATTCGATTTTCATTGTTTTATCTTCAGAAATACCTTTCTCCAAACGAGGATCGTATTGCTTTACGTGTGACGTCCTAAATCCCAAAACCGACTGTAATGACGTTGACATCTGTGCCGCTGACGAAGTAAATATTCATAACGGCTTTTTATATTTTGTATATATTTTGTGGGTTAGATTTCAGTGTCTAATAGAAAATGTCCTGCTTAAAAAATATATATATATAAACTTTGACTGGGAAACAAATATTTTTCCCTCCTTTAATTATGGCTTATGTATGTTAAATGCCTCTAGCACTGAATGTGAAATTTTTTGCAATAAAAGTAGCAAAATATAAACAAAGTAGCATTATGACTTCCATACAAAATACTAGATCACTATTTCTGTACTAGTTGCCAAAAAACAACACCAAAAGATCGCTCAGGTAATTGGCCTATTAGTAAATGTTTGGAAACTATAACAAGACCCCAAAAATAAAAAGATTTAGAAAAACACAAACAGAAGCTTTCCATGGGCATAATGGGCCTTTAAATGTTTATTATTAGATGCACTTTGCACATGATAAATAATATAATGTTTCAGATGTGTGTGTTATATGCACCACCCGAGTTCAGTGGTCTTCCAGAAACAATCTATAGAGGTCGTTGTGAAACAAAAACGGTAAGCTTATAATTGTATTCCTCTTTCAAAAATGTTAAATCAATAAATAGAGGATATTCATGTCACAGGGTGAGAAAAATGTGCAACCTGATCGGGATTGAACCCGAGACCTTCGGAATACCGTTCCGCGGCTCTACCGACTGAGCTATCCGGCCACTTACACATTTTCTCCCCTAAATATTGAACAGTTCTGAACCGTGACATATTACCCTGGTCTTCGAATTTCACAGAGTTACTAGCAATGTGAATTAAACTCTGGGCTACATTAAGTCACTGTCCCCCGTTGGGCGCCAAATTTTAACAGGGTAAGAAAAAGGTACAGCCTGACCGGGACTCAAACCGAAACCCCCGGAATACCGCACCGCGGCTCTACCGACTGAGCTATCCGGCCAGTTACACATCTTCTCCCCTAAATAGTGAACAGTTCTGAACCGTGACATTCAAGTTTGTTTCTATAAGTACAGGATTTGTTTTCATCGAGTGGTATGTAAATACATATTTCATGAGTGGCGGTAGCCAAGAGTGAAATGTGATAATTTTCATACCACAATATGATACTAAACGAGAGCATGCAAGTGTGTATAATTTATGTGAATAATGCTGAACGGTTTCTTTTAAAGGACACTGATATAACTTATAACATTTAAAAGTCCCAAAACATTTTGAGAAGCATGCGCGTTTTCAAAGTGACATTAATTTTCATGAAATATGGGGGAAAACTTGAGAAAAGTTTTATGTAAACAGATCTAAAATTGTATAATATGCTAGCTATGGATTTGGTAAACTACGAGGTTTGGTCTAGATATGAGTATATATTTTTTCAGGGCTGTTTTACACTTGGCCAACAATGACAACTGTTTGACAATGTGTTGCGACACGGATTTCTGCAATGATAGGTGTGAAACTCCTACAAATACCACCGTTGCTACAACGCCAGCCACAACTAGCCAAACGTCTGCGCCATCTACAAAAGGTCTGTACAATTAGAGATACGTCTTACAATGTTAAATATTTCAACAACCTATTTCCGAAATTGCATTATTTATGTAACTATGAAGAATGTCAAGCAAGAATGTCTTCCTAGCCGATAGATGAGTAAAAGCCTTTCATAATTTAATATTTGAACGATATGTTTATAAATCGACGCGTCTGATGTTCTTCTGCCATTTTACATTTTGTTATGAACATGATTTAACATAAAAACGTGCACAGCTTTATCTTAGCAACTTCAACTCACGGGCATTGCAATACCAGTGACGGCTTCGAGTATGTACACAATGTGCATGCGAAAATGTGTGTCTATTTTGTACAAAATCACAGTCACAAAACATGGGATGATGCAAGACACAGATGTCAAATAATAAACTCAGAACTTGTCGTCCTGGACACACACGCAAAAGCTGCTCTCATCAGGAAATACATTATAAAACATACTCGTATGTTGTTTTTTGTATAAAAACTAAAATTTATTAAATTTCATGGTTTTGGGAGCGGTCGTGCATGAATTAACCGTTGGCTCATATAATATTCTACCATGCGTTTGCTTTCATTAAAAGAAGCTTTAAAATGGTATCTTTGTAGTATATGTTAGTATATGTTATGTGCACGCACTTCCATAAACGCATGATAAACAATATACGAACATTTGAAAATGTTATATAGAAGTTGGCTTTAAATAATTGAGGAATTCGATAAAGTTTTTGAAATATGACCAATTCATTCTCTTTGCCAACCTCTTAACGTTAAATTGCATTGTATTTTAAGAGACTGTTGTTCATAAAATTATACACTTGCTGACAATATACTCTCTTTTTCTAAAAATAACTTTATTATTCATTTTCTTAATTATTCGTATCATGATTTATTATTTTGAAAGATATTTCTATATCTTATTACAACATATTACTCTACCAAACGTTGTGTATAATTTTACGACACATTGAGATCTATGGCGTATACACATTTCAGGCTTGGCATTATACCTGTTAAGTCCTTTTTCATTTTGATGTATTTATTTACATGACACTAATTAAGATACTTGATGTCATCTTTTTAGGACTCCACACTGATATGTATTGCGTTGGTGCCAGAGACTTCAATAATCATGACCATTTCTCTTGGGTAAATGGCAATTCAGTACATGTCAATACAAATGACTGGGATAACCATCAGCCGGACACTACTGGACATGGACATGACAAAGACTGTGTGTGCATACATCGGGGTGATGACCATTCGTACACATGGCATAACAAGGAATGCAATGAAAAGGGATTTTTTATATGTGAACGAAAATAAATATTAACATAACTTAATTAAATACTTCATGTTGTCTTAGTAAACCAGTTGTTTTCTTAATAATGTATTTGAAAAATGTATATTTACGAGGGTTGTTGTAATAAGTCGGGGACAACAACGTTTAAATTCAAAATACTGAACGGACTTTTAAGTTGTTCTTTTACACTGATATCTAATACGCTTTTAATGTTAATGTAAAAATGCAGCATGATGTCTTAATGTGATTACACAGAACAAATTGAAAGACTACCTGATACCATTATGCGGCCCATAATAACATTATGTCAGTTTTTCTCCTTTTTAAATGTATCACCTCTGTGTAGGGTACACATTTAATGTCAAGTCAGACAGTACTAAAATGTGTTCTTCTTTCATAACAAATGTTTACCTATATATATATATATATATATATGTTCAACATGCTGTCCGGTTAGAACCATCACCTCGGTGTAATGCGTATCTGTAAACTAAAATGTAAGTTGATGATTGTATCATAGTTTGGGCCCGATTGGGGACATTTCTGTTGAAAATGTGTCAGGGTTAAATCGTATAAATATACATGCACAGTGCGTTAACTGGAGTGCAGGTATTAGTTACCCACACTCCAGAGCATGCCCATTGATTGGCTCATTTTTGCTGGAATTTACTTATTGTGACTGCAGAGAAAGGAAAAGCGATAGAAATATCATATTCAGATGCTCGTTCATTGGTTACTTTTTTCTGGGGTTTCATATTGTGACAACAGGGAACGTGTTTTCATGTTCGACTATGATACAAAATAACACTCGGCAATCTGGTTAATACTCGGGGACTACGTCCCCTCGTGCTCTTCCTAGTACTTATTTTTATAAATAAATGAGTAAGCGGTCTCATACAGCAAACAAACTATCGCGCATTGCCTGTCAAAAGCCATGCTGTGTAATACCAATACCGTCTTTATATATGTACTTTTTTGGCTTTATACTTAAGAGAAACTTTTACTAAATGTGATAGCATATTGTTACGAGCCAGGCGTAACGAGAAAGAAAAGCCAGCAACAAACTTGTAACAATAACAAATTTATTACAGAAAAATTATTACAGAAAAATTAAATAACATTTTATGTTTACAAATACCTGAAGTCCAAATAAAAAATGAAATCTCAAATGTCTAGTCTGATCATGGAATGATCCCTTTTTGAATATCACAGTCATATCCAAGTTTAATCCAAGAGAACTTTAGAATAAATTCCCACAATTAAATCCACAAGAATAATTTAATATATTTAAAATCCAAGCTCAAATAAATTTCTTAATATTCAAGTTGAATGATACTTCTTTAAATGTATTCATGACTTAAAAGGTAACTGATGCCTTAAACGATAAAGGTCATGAATAATGTCCCCTATATATATAAAGCTAAGAAGTTTCCAGAATAGTCTTCCATGTTCTACAGTAATCATAATCTAGCAACTTCAACAATAAAGAACATTCCGGAAATTTCTATCTAAATATAATGCATGAATCATAATCTAGAATTTTCTACAACAGTTAAGAAAGTTCTAGTACATACATGTAGTTTATGTTCTAAAAATAGAACAGTGATAATACTATATACATGTAATATGTTGCATACATAACAATATTTCATGACATTTATCATGACAGCTTATTAATTGTACCGTGCAATATTTTTCTAAATTAAGCACGCACTTGCTTTAGGATAATGACCTTGTACTTTTATTTAATCCTACAAACTGCATTTTTCTTTTTATTACTTATTATTTATTTTATTTACGTTATGTTTTTAATGTCATGTAAATCGTTTCCCGTTTTGAAATTGCCACATAATACTATCGCGTGCGCACGTGAAAATATGTATCGAATGACCAAGTAATACCAATGAAAAATATTGTCCTCATTATGCCATCGTAATTCTGATGATGGAGAGAATGATCAATTTTAGAAATTAAGATCCTAGATCGATGAGTATGATAATTTTAGGTGTTTTTTTTTTCTTTTCATTCATTATCCTTACTTTTAAATAAAGTTGTAAATATTGAATTGAGATATTTGTACTGTTCTGTTCTCCCATCAAAGTTAACTTAGTGATACTTTACAATTAATTTGTTGAACATTAGCACACAACAAAAGATTATTATATTTTTATCGATTTCAAAAGCAAATATATGTTGAGTTTTAAGGGACAAAATTGGGGCGTTTTCTTACATGAAGGGACTGGAAATATTGTTTTCGAGATTTGGTTTTCATTTGATGTGGTAGAGACCAATATAATTTGAGTGCAAAATTACCAGTCATTTTCTCACTCCGTTAGTCCGTTTCTCCCGTTTTATCTGTTCACGTATTTTTTCATTTCTTTCTTTCTTTTTCAATATTTGCATAATGACTCAAAACCATATAGACCTTTAAACGAATCCAGTTGAAAATCGTAAAGAAAGTAAATATTTTTAATTTAATTCTGATATTTCTACTTCATCATTTGCATGTTATGTTCACTTTAAGTGCACCGGCTGATCAATGAAGAAATAAAAAAAATATGATTTTTCCATGTTTTTTTTTTAAACTTCATTAAAGGCCCTGTAAAGAATATATAAGTAATACAACATCATTTATCTCTAAAACGAATGAATATAATAACGAGTATAATAACTCATTTTTCAAATTTTGATATACGAGGTTATAAGCTTCATTCTGTACTTTATGTAACTGTTTTTGTGCGTATGAATTATGAAACTGGCAATCAAGATATCCCATAATTTTTGTTATTCTATATTTGAATATGTTTGTTTAATAAATAGCAAATCGTGCTGAAATTTTAAGTAAACTGTCTTTCAACATCAGTGACAAGTTTGATAGTGTATTGTCGCCGAGGAAAACTGAAACAGTATGTAAAAGTGCAAATGATAATATGACTAAAAAGACATAAAGAACACCATTATATTTTCACTTTTATTAAAACAGTATACTGCAGTATTACAAAATGACCTTTACAACACCAAGGATAAATATGAAAAAGGGAAATCTAAATATGATGTTGAAGAATTGTTTGAAATGAAATAAAAATTCATAAAATCGTCACCAATAAACGGGTACAGATTGAGTTTTTTCGGGTTGAAAAAGCAAACAAAATGTCTTTACGATGTCAAACAATTACATTTGATATCGTTACAAATAATATGGAAAAAGTTGAGACACATAACCCGACATCAAATCATTCTTTACTCAACTGCAAATCCTGGATGAAAATATTCATTTTTTAAACATGCTCATGCAAACAAAAATACTATGCAATTGCCAACAACATGTTCGATTTACTTGTCAATTGTATGCAAATTATGTTTTCTTTTTTCTCTTTTCGTTGTGGTGGCACAGATATGTTTGCATGTATTGAACTTACAATCGCGACGATTAATTTTGCGAAACAGGCAAATCTGTGTGTGTGGTTTCTATAACTTGTTGTTGTCGATTTTGATTTATTTTACAAATAAAAAAAACTAAGATGAATAAACAATAAAAACATCTTTATTATCGCATTTTGTCCAGTTTATTACTTCCAACATGAGCATCATTACTATGGAGGGCGATCATTGCCTTAACATGTTTTCTTAACTCTTGGAAAAAATTTAAAGTTTGATCACCAATATTTAAATCTTTAACAGTGTATTTTCCAAACTATGGAGGGCGATCATTGACACAAAGTTCCAGACATGTAATGTGTTCCTTTTGGAAACTACTTTTGAAAATGCGAACATGTATGTCTAGCATTTTTTATTGCATTCGTGCACAGCAAATGATATGCCTCTTAATCCAATTTTTTAATTGAAGGCACCCGCTTTTAAATAACACGTTTACATGTTAATCTTAACAACTGACCTAACATGGAGAACAACAACACATTTACAAGTTCGTATCTACCATTGCATATAATACATAAGCATGTTTACACACTTGTAGATATATATCTGTACCTGAAAAACACAAATGAAATGTAAAACTCGAATGCAGAAAATATAATTTAATAAAACGTGTTCCAGTCGTAGAACTACAACAGTACGTTTACACAGTTACATGTTTAAAATGACAAAAGTAGATTCACAAAGTTAGACGATTCTAAGTCATGCATGACGCCCCGCCTCTCTCTGAGTATTTGCGATCTTCTATCACGGAAATGTACGGACAGGTATAATACCCGTTGCCTCTCTCCTATTTCTCAGTAAAGTGAAGGAAAACACGGCGTCCATTCTAACTTTTTTATTTCTATAAAAAGTCCAATATTATTGGTATCAAATGAAAGATTACTCCATAAGCTTTCTATGAGTGCCTCGGAAATAAAAATGAATTAAATAGATGTATGGAATTTGAAAATAACACTCTCGAATTGGTAAGAAAAACACGGCGTTCCCTCCAAACATTTTTTTAATTTCGTAATATATTTTGATAATTTTGGATTGAAATAAAAGTGTGCTTCATACGATTTATGATATATAATGCCTAAAAATAAAAATGAATTAAATCAAACTGAATTAACTTTCGTTAAAAAGTTTATCATGTTACTTTTTGTACAATAGAGAAAATAAGAATCCCTAAAGAATGCTCAAAACGACAAAATTGAGAATGTTGCAGGCCCGGTTTGATTGAGCCTTCTCATGGACGTTAATGGAAAGAGCAAGTTATCGTCCACGCCCCCTAGCACCGGCTTAAGCAAAATTCAACATGAACTGGTACAATTTTGAAACATCCGCAGATGTGTTAATATGGCGATTATCATGGAACCTTCAATGTGACACGTAAGTGCCATACCATGAAAAACGGCATATGATCCCCAAGTAAGAAAAACACACTCTGAAATTCAGTAAGAAAAAAACATGGCGCCCCCTACTTACTTTTTTTTTATTTCTTGGTCAATTTTGATAATAAACAAGATCACCAAGGAAAGGTGGCGGAAAATTACATAAGAATTGCAGATTCGGTTTGATTGAGTCTGCACATGAGGGATAATGAACAAGTGCAACATCCCTCACGCCCCCTAGCACCGGCTTGAACGGTACTCAATTCTCAACACTTAATAGCGCTGGCATCAATGATCCCGAAGGACCAGAAAAACACTGAAGGGAAGTACGGGGCAACTTTTTACAACTGCCACACGGCACTTGGCACCTGCTGTTGTGAAGTATTAAAATCTGGAAACAAAATGATCCCTCGGAAGCATTAATCACTAAAAATTACATAAGAATTGCAGA